ACATATCTCTAGGATTGTTTGTTACCATATGATAAATATAAGTGACAGGACTTTAAGAAGCTTTTCTTTGTCATGGACCTCAAGGGGCCCTCTTGAACCCAAATGAATTTGCATTCCTGGATAAATCATTTCAATAGGGTTACTTACTGAGGTAAATTTTATTTACTGTAAACTCCTTCAAATTAAATGTTAAATTTCCAGGCATTTTTAAATGAAACTTGATTGTTAAAGAATATATTCTGTTGGATATGCTTTAAATATGCTGTCTTTGAACCAAAACGTGTGAAAACGTAATTTCCATGTAGTAATTCTATACCGGTTATACAGATTACTTAATTGATCCTACAAGTAGTTCCTTTGTGTGAATTACATTGAAATTAGTTTCTCTGGGTCTGAGGAGAGGTTTTGGGGGGGGGGTTTTGGGGGGAATGAGGGTGTGAGATGACAGGAAGCAGAAATTACAATAAGACACAATTTTATATTGCTCCTTTTCTGGACACCAAACGGTTTACTAAGGCCCCTCCCCCCGATGGGAAACAAAACAAATCAAGAGCTTTCCCAATAAGGTTTGAATAATAAGTTATTTTGCAATGAATATTAAAGCAATCTGTACCTTTTAAAATTCAAAGTTACTTCTCTCACTGAAGAGCCGTAGCCCAAGAGAAAGCTGGCAGGTTCACTCACTTTCTAATGCAAAAAAAAAAAAAAAACCCACCCTACTTGATAAGGATTTTTTTCCAGAGCGATTCCCTGATGCATCTAATGTGTCAAAAATAATTAGGTTTTGGCAGATTTATCATTGCAGCACAACCCTTTCCTTGGGTAGGGCCTGGATCATGTTAAGCCTTGTTTGTGTGTGACAGCATTATTATTCTTGTTAGTTGCCCACTTCCCCCATCATTCTGTTGTGTTTGGAAATTTCCCACCCCAACTTGTGTTCTTCACCAGTGTTTTTCTTCATTTATTGACAGTTGGTAAAGATATTCATTAATTTAGAGTTAAAAACATGTATCATCATGTCTCGCTGAACTGCTGGGCTGAAGTTGATTAATGGCAAAGCCTTGCTTCAGGTTTTCCTCTTGAGAAGCAGCACACTGGCCCTGCATATTAATGAGAGATTGCGGTTTCTATTAACAAGATAAAAAAGCAGGTCTTCTCTTGCTTCAGGGGTAAAGGGGATGAAATTTTTTTGATTATTTATATGTAATATTTTTCACCAGGTGCTATCTCTGAAACTTCCAAGCTTTCTTCCCCCCGCCCCCCGATCAAACTAATATGTTTTTCAGAAAGAAAAAAAAATAAACTTCAGGGTATAAGCTGATTAATTTTCTATCATTATATTGCCATGGTTGTCACATTCAGCACAAAAATTTAATTAGATAAATGCATGTATGCATGCACACAAAAATGGGGATGCTGTAAGATAGTCAGTGACATCCTGGAAATGGCAATGTTTTATGCTAAATTATTTACTCCTGATTAGTCAGTGTGTTTGTTTCATCAGAAATTCTGTCTATCTTTCATGTTGAGACATCTTGCAAAGTATTTAGGGTTTTTTTTTTAAACTAGCCAGTAAGATATAAATGAAAAGGGAGAAGAGATTTCTGGAATGCATTACATTTTTTTCACTCCTGCTATGCTCTCCATTGCATCTTTTAAATTTCTTTGTTATATACACTGACAAAATCTCAAATGCACATGTTCTCTAGATGTGTTATGGAATCAGTTCTGGTATCTGTAAACAGGCTAAATGTTTTGGTATATAAAATACTACTACATCTCAAAATGCAGCTGGAAAGATCTTTTTAATTCTCATCCAAATTCCTGAAGTCCTCCTCTACAAGGTCCTTTTCTTGACTGTGCTATCCATGCACTACTATAGGAATTGAACTCATTTGTTCCAAGGGCCAGATCTGACATAAATGTTACTTTGTCAGGCCAGGCCATGTGTGCCATAAAATGTGATGCCAGGTACCAGAGATATAACCTTTAAAAACGACATAAGTAACCCAATTAACAATATTAATTTTTTTTACTCAAAATACAAACAAAAGCAATTGATTCTTAGGAGTGAAAGAAATTGATTTACTGGGAAATCCACAAAACCTGCAATAAATTTATTTAATCATATGCAAGACTAGGCTTTTCCCAATACACACCATAAAAGGGGGTGGGGTCTTGCATTTCCATACAAATCAGTTACTTTTTGCATATATAGCATTTTTAGGGGACGAGTCATCTTCCTTGCAAATAAATAAGATTGTTTTTCAGCATCCCCCCATACACTCAGCCTCAGCCACCAAGCGCAGCTATGATCCATCTCATGCTCTTCGTTTCCTCTCTTCCCTCGACCTACCTCTGAAGGAGGCACACCAGACTTCCCCCTCTACTGTGCCATCCCCACCACCACCACCAACCCTGTGAGGTGGTCCAGGCTGAGCAACTGGCCCCGGATAATCCCCCACCCTCCCTGGCACTCACTCTGCCTCCCTGTTCATTCCTCCACTTCCTTCCAAAACCAGGGTGTCTTTCCCCTCAGAGCGGCATGCACAAGACAGCCCTGTTGCCTCCCAATCCATATGCCGGCCTTCCTCCTCCTCCTCTCTCCCCTGCTGGCCCCATCCCTTCATTGGCAAACCACCGCTCTGCATGCCTGCTCTCACAAACCTCTCCCATGGTCGCCATTTGGTGCAGCAGTGGCAGCACCAGCCACTTGGCTCTGCCCCTTCATGCAGTTGCTTCTCCAGTCCTCGGAGAAGGCAGGAGGGGGAAAAACACCACACCTCCTCTTTCTCTGCCTTCACTACCATTCTCCCCATGCTGTTTTACCTCAGCCTCATAGTCCTGCCCCCTAGCAATTTCATTTTTATTTCTTGACAGCTTCAACCACATACACCCTCACTGCATGTGCCTACTTGCCCACTCCCCCCTCTGAGCAGCCTCCTGCCTTCTCTCATTGGGCCAGTTGCTCGCAGGCCAGATAAGAGCCCTGGATGGGCTGGTTCCCACTCCCGGGCTGTATGTTTGACACCCCTGATTAAGACTTCCAAGAAAAACATAGGCTTTGTTCTACTGGAGCATATCTCCAGCATTTCATCCCCTGAGCAAAACGTACTTCCCGCTTCTTATTGCATCCCAGAAAGCTGTTCCCAGAGGTCCTTTGTTCCTCAGGAGCAGATTTTTAGGCTGCAGCAGAAGGGGGTGGTGAGAAATGCACATTCCATGGGTGGAAATCTATTCATGGGAATGCTCCAATGGATCCAAGACATTTTATATAGATGGACAGAGATGTTGATGAACATTAAGAACAGAACTGGCCGAGGTTTTGGATGCTGTGGCTGGATGGTTGTGGCAGAGTCGATTGAAGTTAAATCCATCAATGACAGAGGACTTAGCTACAGTGACCCATGCAATGGTCACTTCCAAGCTTGATTACTGCAATTCGCTCTATGCAGGATTTCCCTTGAGACTGGCCTGGAAATTACAGCTGGTGCAAAATGTGGTGGCATGCCTGTTGATGTCAACACCTGTGCGGACTCACATTCGGCAGGTGCTCCACCAACTGCATTCGCTACCAGTTGAGTTCTGGATTTGCTTCAAGGTGTCGGTAATAACATTTAAAGCCTTATACAGCCTGGGACCAACATATCTGAGGGACTGCCTCTTCCTTTATATGCCTCGAAGAGCATTATGCTCTATGGATAAACATCTCCTGATGGTCCCTGGCCTGAAGGACATCTGTCTTGCCTCTACCAGGGCTTTTTCTGCAGTTTTTTAGGCTGGTGGAACATGTTCCCAATTGAGATCAGGGCCCTACAGGATCTTCTTCAATTCCGCAGGGCCTGCAAAACAGAGCTGTTCAACCAGGCCTTTGGCTGAGGCAACAGGCATCCATGTATGGCCTCCCTGAGGTTTTTGTCTCTCATCCAGTAACAGTTGGCCTATTATTATCCATCACCAACGAGCCAGCCAACTTCCGTTTTGAGCTGTGACCACCAGTGTTCCCTCTAAGCTGAGTTAGTGTGAGCTAGCTCACAGTTTTTTAGCCTCTGGCTCACACATTTTTGTCCTAGCTCAGGAAGGATGGCTCCAGAACAAACTAACTTATGCAGGAGCCAAATTGCTCGCTCACAACTTTGATGCAAGTAGCTCACAAAGTAGAATTTTTGCTCACAAGACTCCATAGCTTAGAGGGAACATTGACCACCATTTTAATGTGAACTACTGTGTTTTAATTTTTAACTGTATTTATTGTGTTGATATGCTGTTACCCGCCCTGAACCCACGTGTGGGGAGGGTGGGCTATAAATATGAAAAATAAATAAACAAAATGAATAAATAAAAACTCTCTAGTCCACCTCCCTGGCCCCAGGCCATCTCATCAAGGAGTCAGTGTGGGATCAGGATCTGGGACACCCAGGCTCAAATCCCTAATCTGCCATAGAAGCTTGCTGGGTGACCTTGGGCCAGTCACACACTCTCAGTTTAACATACCTCACAGGCTTCTGAGGAGAAAATGGAGGAGAGGAGAAGCCACTTTGGGTCTCCATTGGGGAGAAAGACAGGGTATGAATGAAGTAAATAAATAATGCAGTAGCCTGGCCAACAAATCAGTCTTTGAAAGCCAAAACACACCATGTCACTGGCAGAAGCCTCCTGTGAAGCACAAAGGGAAACTGCAAATCTAGCAGAACAAGGGTCCCTCATGTTGGCTTGTTGTACAGCTTGCTTCCCCTCCAAAACTGTTCAAGACTGATCATAGTCAAGAAGCTTTACAGGGCAGGTTTGACATGGCATATAGTAGTGATGCAGGCTTAAGGGTGGTGATGTACTTGAAGTTTCTTACTTGCAATACAAATATTTTATCTTTTTGAGTGTATTTTGTGTACTTATGTATATTATAACCCATCCTTCACTTCTGTGGAGAAATGACAGAAAATTAATCATGGGGTGATGATTCAAATAACTAGAGCCCATGTGACATGTCCATTCTTTTGCAGACACTCAATCCACGTCAAGGAAGAACCAGTGATTGCTGAAGATGAAGACTGTCCAATGTCCTTGGTGACAACAGCGAATCACAGTCCAGAATTGGAAGATGATAGAGAGATTGAGGAAGAGCCTTTATCTGAAGATCTGGAATGAACAGAGACTTTACAAACCTCAGAATGAAGGGACATATCACTGACCTTCACAACCACTCCACAACCATGAATATTTGACAAATTTTTACTGTGACTATTTATTAAGCATGGATAAAGGAGAACAACCCTAAAGGAACTCATTATGGCAGCCCTTTGGGAATCCAGTTACAAACAGGCAAATTGCTTGTTTTTTCTTTCTTTTTTTAAAAAAGACAAACTGATTTTCTTGAAAAAAAAATAAACTGTTTATATATAATGGCTTGCCCATTTTAAAAAGATGTGGCTATCGAGGGTTCATAAAATGACTGAATATGAGGATACATGTTCTATAGAAAGCAAATGGGCCTCATATACTGCCAAAAATAGTGTTAGTTTCATCAATGTGAAAATTCCAGCATACGGTAGTTGTAATAATGTTAGAAACAATTGCTGGTCAAGTTCAACTTGTTGCTATCGTTTTTAATTTGCACAGGAGTAGTATCAGAAATTTAGTATCACTGCTTGTATCTAGCTGAATTTTAAACAACAGAACATTAGTTTTTTATGTTGGTGCCACCAACTGTAAATGACATGAGTTAGTTATAACAAACCACAGTAATTAGACTGTTGCAAACCATCTAAAAACATTTTTAAGCTTCCAGTCTGTGCTGTTAGTGTTAAGATGTAAAGTGCAATCCTAAGCTAACATTGTCTGTGCAAGCACCATAGAAACATTTGCATATCTGCATATTATCTTACAACTGTACTCTTTACCTCCTTGTGATAAAGCTTTGTCTACCTGCAAACACAGTCAAAGGCTACAGCTGCAAACCAAAGCCTTCTCTAACAATGGCCAATAGCTCCACGACAGAAGCAGCCACTCGCTTTGGTCAGCCTTCTGTAACTTTAATTAGTACAAAGGAACCTTTCCACGAACTACCTGCTGTTTTCTGATGACCTCTGGGATCTTTTCATTTAGCCCTGTACCAAGAAACAAATATGGAGGGGGAAGAAACAAAAGTTAATTTTGTCGTAATGTAATCTTCTGAGGCCAGAAGTCAATCTTTAAATGCAGTGAAGATTTGCTTTCATTTTAGGACAGAGGTGGGAACAAAGTCTGGGCAGAAGTTATGATAGAAAGCAACCAATATGGATCACTGACCAAAACAAACGTACTTGATGCAAATGCAGATTGCATATTGTTAATGTAAAATATATTATTTTTTTTAATTCTGTTCCCTCCCCGTTCAGACTGGTTCCCCACCCCAACCCCCTGTGGTGAACTACATGTTGTTAGAGGAAGTCTTGTATGGTCTTAATCTTCGTTGTGTGCTATTTTTTATAGTCTTAAGTTATAATGACAAAAAAGTAGGAACCAAACATAAAAAGGTCTAGTAAAGCCAAAAATTAATTTCATATTGATTTAAAGTGATCTAGGTGAGTTTTTACACTGAAAGCAAAGATTATAGCAATTGTAGACCATGGTATTTATTTTCAGTCAAACCAAAGTTACATATAATTCTGCCTCTGTTTATACGGGATACTAACACTAACAATACACTCCCTTTGGAAGACTTGCACAGGCCAAATTGTAGGAATGCTGGGTTTATTTTGTTGTTGTTGTTGTTTTCTTTTGACAACTCCGAACCCAAAAGAATACAATGATACATTAATGGTGTAGTGGAGAATAGCATAGTCAGATGTTTGCTGAAAACCTAGTAACTTTACATGTTTGCTTTTCATGTGCTGTGCCAAGTCTCAATAATATTTTCCCCCCCAACCAAGGGACCTCAGAACCTGATTATGGTTATTGCTTTACAAACAGTTTTTTTCCACAGAAGGTGGCTGCTAGAGCTCAACACAGGTACCAGTTCCATGTGATGGACCTGGGTCTTGCAAATGAAGCTCCCTTGTATTCTTTGCTGAAATCAGCAGAGACTTAAAGAGAAAATGCAGCCATCTATCACGCCAAATAAAAGGACAAAATGGCTTTCGAAAGGGTTTTCCCACTTACCCAAAAGGCTTTCTGAAAGCTTCTACCTCTGCAGAAGAAAAACAAAAACAAAACAAAAAAAAAGAAATTAGAACAATTATGGCAGATTGCATGAATTGTGAGAACGTCACAGTAACTGCTACTTTTCATTATGTTTGTCTTTGGGTCATGATAACAGAAGGTTTATAGTAATTACATCAAAAGAAAGATTTACCATGTGAATGGTAGTTTTTTGTTGTTGTTTTTTTTAATTATTATTTCAGTCGTCTAGGATCCCTAATGTGGGGATGACCTGAAAGGGACTAATGTTTCTTTCAAGTGCATGTTCAAAAGACGTTGATGGACTGGAAGTAAATGTGATAATTGGACCATCAGGAAGGTGGCCTAAGACTACAATGCTAAAGTATGCATACCTCAGTTACAAACCTTTTTGAAAGGAAGTCTCAGCCACAGAATGCATATACCTGTAGAGTTTTGCATGGGTTTTATATAAATACAATTTAAAGAAAAAAATAGCTGCTTGCACATTATACCAGAAAAACCTCCAAAACTTCAATTGCTTTGAAAAATAGACTTTAGGTTTTTTTGGAGTTTTCTGAGATGCTTGGTCTGTATTTTGATAATTGTGCATATTATGTAAAAATGTTGGTGGACCCATAAATGACCAGACTTTTTCTAAGAAAAATGTTGCTTTAATGCATTTCATGACTTTTTACTCTGATATCATTGCTTGCTAGGAATAGCAAACCTGCTTTTCTGCATCTGCTTTGCGTAGCTATTGTAAGGCTTTGAACTAATGTATGTATTTATTGCTTGAACTTCTGTGCATACCTTATAAAGCATAATGTCTGACAATTTAAATGGCTCATGTATTCTTGCTTCTATCATAAGCTGATAATGGGGACTATGGTCTTTTGTATACAGCAAATTTTAACTGTAGCACAAACATCTGTTTATGTATTGGTGGAATATACCTGTTTTATTTATCTTTTTTGAGGTAAACTAATTTTTGATACTTTTCATTACTGTGTACTGTGTTCATACCTTGAATTCTCTGACGTTAGAAGTCATGGTTGGGAATTGTAACAGCTGTTGTTCATTCTGTATTCCTGGCTCTCACTGCTGAATAAAATAAAGGACCAAACCTAGGATTTGAAAGAGAAACTGTCTACCTCTAACACCAGGGAGTTATCAGATTTTATTTTACATAGTTTTAGTCTACAAAGACACAATTTCTTAAACCTAGTGGGCTTAAGGCTTATATTCTATGTGGTTGAATTCATAGCACAGTTGTACTGTTTGAAAATCAATTAAAATTTCATGTGAATGTTACAAGCATTAGGTAGAATTACCACTAACTGGGTTTTCTTTGGATAACCCAGATATGGGGAAATGATTATCAGAATTCTGTGTCTATAGCTGCTTAACTTCATAAGAATACATTTCTTTGTGATTAGGAAATCGAATCACAGCCAGCTAGGAATAGAGCAACTGAGCTATACCTTTTAAAAATAAATAATTAAATAAATAAACCATTGTGGACTTCACTGTCCCTGGTCAGAATCAGTCTCTAGCTCCCATAGTCTGTTTAACTCAGATTCCTCAAATTGGGCATTCACATTTTGGAGTATTTTATGTCAGGATTCAGACTACACATTCCAATACTAGTGTACATTTTTGAAAGGCTAGTGTTATTACTGCTCCTAAAATATGCAGTCACCCTCGTTATTCCAAGAGTTTAAATCAGAATGGGTTTTGTCCATAAAATCAGGCATATTTAACAAAAATGCAAGATGTAAATTTTACTATAGTGTTAATGTAAACAGTATTTTCACTGCTGCTGGATGTAAAAAATGTAAATGAAACCATTTCATTCACTTGCTTAAGTTTCTGGTGTATAAATAAAAAGTCTAATTCTTTTTGACCCATTATAACCCATAGGGTTTTATTATTTTTTTCCTAAGAAGCTCATTCTCCCACACTGCAAGCCCAGTTCTTATATTCTTATGAGTTACATAATCTACAGTAGATAAAAGTGTTTGAGGGTCCTCTGAGGGCACTGAAAAACAATTTAAAAACATGTTAACAGAAACCTAGCATCTCACCTTTTGTGAACTCCATGAAGATTTTTAGACTCGTGTTTCTTGTTTGATGCACATACATAGATAACCAGTGATAGTGCAACATCAGCAATACCCAGAGTTTGGTTTCTTGTGCTGTTTTGTTCTTGAAAGGGTGGTTGCACAGTCTAGAGGCCATTTCACACATTACCCTTTTAAAGTGGAAAAAAATGTGCTTGTAAACGTGTGAATCTTACATGTAGAGTTGGTTAGTGAGTTATGATTGGCTGCAGGCTCCTGTTGAGGGTTTACTTGCAGTTGGATCAAGACTCAAATGGCAGTTGTCACTGATTCACCCTTCTTGCTGAAGACTTCCCCTCCCCCCCCCCAGTCATTCCTCAGGATCCCCTATCCCCCGGAGCAGCAGGTCAGTTACCAGAGAGCAACAGGAAATTTCCATTCTGCTATTGGAAATTTTAGTCTCGATTCAACCCATAGTAGCAAACTTTAAGGTGTGAAATGGCCCTCAGAAGGTTACAAGTCTAAACAGGAAAAGATACACATGGATATGTGCAGTTGGTGATGTGACAGATGCTCCTACATGTGGAATGTATTATCTGGCTTGAGTGAGGGAAAGTAGCTACTATATAAGCTGTTTGAGTGAGGGAAAGTAGCTGTTCAGGTGCAAAATAGTTACTGCCTATTGCTTAATATTTCTCAGATGTGTTGTGTAGCCGTGATATCTTTTTTCTTGCCCAGGCAAATTAAGTATTTACTTAATTTGTCAAGTAGACATATTTTTGGTTTTTGGGTGGATTGGTTGGTTGGGTTTTTTGTCTTTGTTGCATCTGTATTGTACA